CGGCAACTTTCAGCGTCATTAAGCCACTGCGCCACCACGTCCCCCAACACTTAAATAGCTTGACAGTATTTCATGGCTGGTATCTCGTGGGCAGTGTTGGGCTTCAGGGTTTAGTGACCATGGTCTAGGCAACAGATTTCCTGATGTTTCGCTGGCAACTGTGACTGGCATCTTCAGAGGCAAGGTGGTTTATATAAGCTATAAAGGCTATAAAGACAGGAGCCTAATCAGTCCCTGCTCAGTTGCCTGTGGTCTGTGTAGTCACTAAACCCTGAAGCCCAACACTTGCTTAATGGACAGTATTTAAGCAGTTGACCTTTTTTCAGTAGAACTGAATGTTAATGTGTCCTGATGGAACCTATTATAGTATCATTTCTGTTCTTAGATAAAAGAATTGAAAATATATAAAGTTGGGCTTGTAATGTTCCATGAAATAGTACTTACCTTGGTTTTTTAACCACTGTCTCTTCATATTTTGGTCAAACTAGACATTTTAGGAAAAATAGTCTGTAAGTTAATAGTGTTGAAAAAAGGCTCATTGTTCAAATATCTCTATAGCTAAATAGCAGTAATAAACAATTTTGAAACATAAATCTATATATTTGCTGATGAATGTACCTTCCAATTGATCTTCCTTTCAAGATACCATCTTCTTATTAGAGAAGTGTAGACTTGGAAGAAAATACATTTCCCAATTTTTTCTTTGAATAAGCCTCATATGAGCTTTTTTTCTTAGAATAATTTTGGAATTCTTATAAAACAGAGTTTGAAGCCACTGTTTAGCTGCACTTGATGTCCTCAAGGCAATTTCTGGCAATACATAATTGTTTAAGATAATGTTAGTATTGAAGAAGGCAGTGGCAAACCTCTTCTGAAATCTTGCCAAGAAAACTGCAGGAACTAGTCCAGGAAGTCATGAGGAGTTAAAATTTACTAGAAGGCAGGCACCAAAAAAATAAAAAAATAAAAAAATGTAGTATTAAATAATCCTTTATAATGTTGAATGTATAACTTAAATACAAATTTGTTAGCAAGGTAGAATCTAGTCTGCTGATGTTGTTCTGTCAGCAGATGTCTAGGTACTGAATGTTGTCCAAAGTCATGTAAATTGAAACTTTAAAAATTTTAATATTGTAAACACATTAAAGAATACAGTTTTACAAGCCAGTTTATTTATATGTATGTATGTATGTATGTTATATTAAAAAGTAAAACAAGTTGAGAACTGGAAAGAATGTATTTTCATAGTTTCATAGTGCCTTTAATGTCTAGTTTATTTTTAAAAACTATTTTCCATAACTAAAACCAGTTGAGTGTCCTTTTAATTGTTTCATACCTACACGGTATTATACAAACCAACGTTATTGGTATCTATTCTACAGTTGCTTTGGCTTTTCTTGCACTGATATTAAACTTTTAGATTGGATATTGTAGTGTTGTTGGAATTGCTACAGAGTTTGGGATATTCTCCCGTATACCACTTCTCAGTTCTTAAAGAATGCTTTTTTCTGATTCAATTAGGCCAGTGACTGAAGAAAAGACTCTGCTGTCAGAAGACATGAGAAGGGAGCTTCAGCGTCAGGAATGGGAAAGAGAAGAAGAAGAAGCGCTAAAGAAACCAATGGGTCCAATTCATTATGAGGACATCCGAGAAAATGGTATGCTGATTTCCTGTGATTCACATCTGGTTTAAAAAATATCATATAGCTTAATGTCAGACTAGATTCTCTTCTCCTTGGTTAAAGTATGTTTTTTTAGAGTGATAGTGCCCATGCAGAATTGTTAAGCTGTTATATTAATCATTCACTAGTGGAAAAATGAGAATCAGTTTGGTGTATGGGCTAGAAACTGGGAGATTTGTGAGTTCTAGTCCTGCCTTAGACACAAAGCCAACTGGGTGACTTTGGGCCAGTCCCTTGGAAGAAGGTAATGGCAAACCACTTCTGAAAATCTTGCCAAGAAAACTTCAGGTGCTAGTCCAGGAAAAATACAGGTAGTCCTCAAGTTGCGACCATTAGTTCAGTGACTGAAGTTACGACGATGCTGAACAAAGGGACTTACGACTGGTCCTCACAGTTCCAGATGTTGCAGCACTGCTGCGGTCATGTGAACAAACTTTAGGCGCTTGGCAACCAGCTCACCCTTACGACTGGTTGCAGCATCCAGCAGTCACATGATCGCCATTTGCAACTTCCATGCTGGCTTCCCGGAAGCAAAGTCAATGGGGAAGCTGGCAGGAAAGGTCAACCCATTTGTGAAACTCTCTCCCCCAGTCTTTCTTCACTCACACATGCCCCGCTCCCTCCTTTCCAGGCCTCTCTGCACTGACACCCACCAGCACCCTCCTTTCCAGGCTTCCCTGCCTACACTTGCATGTACCCTGCACCCTCCTTCCTTGGCCTTCCTGACCTTGCACTGCACCGCAGCACCTCCTCCCATAAGTTGTGTGTAGCCTGCACTGGGCCTCCCCCACCACCCCGTGTCACCCCCACACTCCTTAACTGGGATTCCCACTTCTTCCCCCTTAATGACCCACATGTCTTGGGTTACGATGACAACCTGGATTGCCATTGCTGAACAATGCAGTCACATGACATTGCACTTTACCACTGCATCACTTGCACTTTACCACTGCATCACTTAATGATGGCAATCCCAGTCCCAATAGCAGTCGTAACTCGAGGACTGTAGTAAGATTAGGGGGCTATTCAAATTTGTATTACTGATAACTATATTGCCCTATACTCTGTACTTAATCAAAGAGTGGAAATCCTAAGTCTCACTCTAAGCCTTCTGAAAATAGAAGAAAAAATATAAATACAAAAAGAAAAGGTTAAAGGTGCTGTGTTGTAAGTTACTATGTATACATTTAGAAATAAGATAGATGCAAACTAGTATAAATCTGTCTGTTAAAGCATTATTTGGGGCAATGTTGACTGGGAATCAGAGTATAGTTCAACAGATTTAGAAGGCATATGATTTGAGAAGGCTATTGTAATGTAAAAATTATTCAGAAATGTTTGTCTTTGTATTGATATATAATCTTGGAGAAAAGTTGTAGGTCCATCTTAGAATCCACGCTGACCACTCAGAATAGCCCAGGTTCAGTTCCTGGCATCTTCTGGTATTATTGGAAGAATTCTGGCCTGAAACCCAGATAGCCATCACTGATATTAAAGGAAGTCCAGGAATTATAGCATATTATGAACTCTAATATGGTGCAAAATATCTTTCAGAGGCCCGACAGCTTGGTGTTGGTTACTTTGCATTTGCCCGTGATCAGGCTTTGAGAAGAAAACAAATGGAAACCTTAGAAATGCTAAGAGAGCAGGTATGATGTTTAACAGTCTACCAAGTATGGGAAATCTCCAGATGTTCTGAACTGCGTGTCCCAGCATCCCTCATCAGTGGCCAGGTTGACTGGGGCTGTTAGTAATTATAAGTCAGCAACATTGGAGAGCCATAAATTCTCCATCCCTAAACTTATGATGTGAAATATCTGAGCTTTTCTCAGATGTTTCTGTCCTCTATCCTTGGTGAACTGTGTCTCTGAATAACATAAATGAGATGTGATTTTTTCCCAATCCAAGGGACACATTTTCTAGCTGATGGACTAGGGAGTGCACATATATACTTGTTCTGTGAACTGCAGAAGGGAGCTGCTATAATTCTCCCACCTTTAAAATGGCTATTTAATACAGGTAGTCCTTGACTTACGACCACAATTGGGACTGGAACTTTTGTCGCTAAGTGATGCAGTTATTAAGTGAGTTGCACCCAATTTTACGAACTTTTTTTGCCGCGGTCGTTAAAGAAGCACATGGCCGTGAAGCAAATCCAGCTTCCCCCATTGACTTTACTTGTTGGAAGTGCCCTGGAAAGGTCACAAATGGTAATCACATGACCCTGGGAAGCTGCAGTCATCATAAATACATGCCAGTTGCCAAGCGCCCAAATTTTGATGATGTGACCATGGGGACGCTACAATGGTTGTAAATGTGAGGACTGGTCATGTTTTTCAGTGCTGTTGTAGCTTCTGATGGTCGTTAAATGAATAATCTTAAATCAAGGACTACCTGTAAAAAGGGAGGAACATGAGGGACCCAAATAGGATTGTTTGGAAGGAAATGTAAATCTCCTTCACTCCATCTTCTTATGCTCCTGTCCCCTCAGTTGATGGATAATCAGCTGGATTATCGAGAAAAAGGGATCAGATTGCTCAAGGCTGCTATGCCAGGCCTATAAACAGAAGCAGTTGTTGTAGTTGAATCAACCAGTAGCAATACAGATTTCACCATAACCACATAGAACACGTGTAATAAATCTATGCACATAATAAGTTCAGAGGTAAAGCGTTCAAATGAAAAAGTTTACATCGGATAACAGTTTGAGGGATAAGTTTAATTATAGGAATAAATTATGGAATTAAAATTTCACAGGTTTGTTATTTAAATACTAATTTCTTTTTTAAAAAAAAATGCTTTTCAGTTACGTAGTTGCAGTGAAAAATAGTGTGCATTCCAATACAAATTCTTTGACTGCCTATGAAATAGAGTTTTCTTACATTGTGGTAATGGAAAAGATAAAGCTTGAAACTCAAAAGTATGGGAGGAAATGGATAAAAAAAAATAGCATCTGTCTATGAATATCTGAAGAGAAAATGAATTACTATTGTATTGCATTTCTTCAGACCATCGATCAAAGAGCAAAACGTGAACATTTAAAGGAAAAACGTAAAGCTATTTTGGAGGCCAGGTTGTCTAAGCTTCGAGCAAAAAAGCGCTTAAAAGATGGTGACACAAAGGAAAATGGAGGTACTTTTTGAATTACTTCCTTTAAATTTAAAAGCAGTTTTGGAAAATGTACATATTTGTTTAGATTACAGTCTCTCTCTTATTCACTGAAAACTACGAATTTGACTGTACTATATTATAGCTTGTTCCAAACGGTTTCACAATCTCATTTTTTCCAAATCCGAAATGATTAAGAGTTGCAATATTAGGGAAAGATATATTGTGATAGCTTGTGCACGTGCATTAAAGAAGCATGATGATGGATTAGGACCAGACTTGATTTTTCTAGTTCAGACACAGCAATAATCCACAGTGGCAATAGTCTGGAGTTCATAATCTCCAAACTATTTAATTTTTCAGATAGTCAGAAAATATTGCTTTAATTATATCAGTTTGGATAGTTTCTGTTCCTGGCTAATATTAGCGCTATTTTCATCACTAATAAACTTTTGAAAAGCTGGTGAAATTGATGAAAGGAGGAGTACTGAATATTTTTATCTTTGCTAGTTTCTTCAGTTTTACAATATGGTCATTCCAGGATATGTTGCCAAGTCATATCATTTGTTCTGCTTCTTGATATCACTTGAAATGTAGGTCTTTTTTCTTTACTCAGCCATTTCTCCTTCTGGCTTACTCTGTAATAACTTTCTTTCAAGGAGGGGAGAGGTAATATCTCAGTGAGATGTTTTACTGTGATTAAATCATTACATGAATTCGCTTACTGTGATATGGCAATATCATATCCATTTATCTCATCCATTTACCTCATCCATTTATCCCATGCGGTGCCTAAAATCTGTGTGTGGTTCTCCTTCGAAACAGAGGAAGAGGCTGTAGAGCCAGTCCTGTCTTCAGTCAAGCCCACTGAACTGCCAAGAGTTTCTACAGAAACTAGAAGAGTAGAAGTTATCATTCAGGAAAGGAAAGATACCAAGCCGGGCGTGCCCTATGTTCGTGAGTGGGATAAAGGCAAAGGTAAGAAGCTGCACCAGACACGGAACTCTTTCAACTGTCAGCACGTCAAGAATTATTTGGTTTAAACCATGGTGGCTTGGCCCATGGGACCCCCAGCGCTCTCTCTTAACTCCCCCAAAACACCCTGATAGTGCTTTGTCAATGTTTGACAGCAGAATGAATTATTTTAGCAGTGTATTTTTTCCTTGATTTGGAGGGTGGGGGGTGGTGATATTGAGGCAGTTTCAAATTTTGCCAACGGAAGGCCTTTCTGTAATCCACTAGCAAGTTGGGAGGCTGTTACAGCCCATGACTAAGCAGAATTTCCCCAATCTTGGCTTAAACTCTGGTTGGGTCATTAGCATTTCAGGCAAGAGACTCTCGTGTCCCTACATAATACAGAACAAACCAGTCTATTCATCCAGACATCATGGAAAGGTTATAGCTGCACTGTAGAGCTGCTTCTCTTTCATGACCCTCCCCAGACTATTAAATCGTATTGCAAATGTGAATAATTTGGGTGACTTCAGTTCTGTCTTTTCTGTTTTCAAGGTTCTATTAGGGTAAACAAAATAGGACTATCTTAACAAAAGTAAGACAGATTATTGGGGGAAGGTTTCTTTTTAAGAAATAACCTTTACTTTTATAGTTTCATAGAGCTTGAGCTGAATTAAATAGGAAAAAGCAAGCTGAACTTGATATTTTTTCTCCTTCCCATTAATAGAATTCACTTTTGGACTCTGGTCAAAGAAGCAGAATGATCTCAGGAATGAACGAGATCCAGAGTTTGCACCACCTTCTGCTTACTTTGTCAATCAAAACAAAGCTCATGATTTTAAAAGCCAAAATTGGAATAAATCTGGATCTTCCTATGAAAAAATGGAACACAGTCTTACAAGTAATTTGCCATCTACATCAACTGAGACTCACAATACCAACTCACAGAACAATCACTTCATATCCACTCAGGCACATGAGATGGGAACGTCAAACCAAGAACCAGTTTACCAAAGTTTGGATGATATGCTCTCCTACTATAAGCAAGTCACATGAACCCTAGATGCTGTTAGCAAAGCTATTTGCTCCCTGATGATTAAAAAACTCTTGCTAGGATAGATATCAAATCATTCTATGAACAGGAATGAACCTTCCTGCAATTCTCTTCTTTCCATCATTTCTAATATTAAAGAATTCAGTTTTAAAGATACAGTCTTGGTCTGAAACTTCATTTCTTCTTTAGGCACACAAAAAACCTGGGTATTATCAGGTTTTAACATTTTAATAACGTTCCTCATTTAATTAATAAGGAAAGGTTATGATAGAGCAAGAACTACTATAGAAGAAACTTAAGCTATACATCCTTCACCATTTGCCCAATTATTTGGATTCAAGTAGGGATGGTGGGCAACTTTTGCAATTTAGGGACTGCAATTTTTTTTTAAGCTTTAGAAGCCCACAGAAGGAACATTGGAAGAGACTGGGTTGAAAAGTTTGGTCCTTTTGTGAGAGGTTTATTTATTTATTTGATTTATTAAATTCATATCCTGGCGTGAAGGCAGTATATCTAACATTCTCTCCCTCAATTTTTGCCAACATCTTTGTGAAATAGATTGGACTGAGAGTGACTGGTAAGCTCTCATAGCTAAAAGTGAACTTGAACATGGGTCTCCCCAGTCCTGGTCTAGCAACATAACCGTGATACCCCATGGACTCCCATGCCACCATCGGTTTCTCTGTAACCTGTCAGTGCTGCAAGATTGCAGGAGCTGCAAAATTTCAGCTGGAAGCCGTTTCTGATATGGGTTATCCTTCCTGAGATACCATCTGCTGCCATGTTTCAGGTGACACATGCTGTCTTGGGTAGAGGGGGTCAGACAACCCCCTGCAGGGTCATGCAGAATAATTTGTTCAGTATCTGTTAGACTAAATCACTCGAATTTGCTCACAGTTGGACACTAGCCTTGTTGCAGGTCCGGAGGAGATGCCTAGGGAGGAGTCTTGCCCAGTTATCTGGGAATGGTTTGAACCTGTTGGGCCTGAAGTGGACAGGGTCCTTGGGACTGTGAGCTCAGCCACCTGCTCTTTAGATCCATGCCCCTCCTGGCTGGTTAAGGTGGCCCAGGGGATGATGTGTGAGTGGGTTATAGCAGTGGTAAATTCTTTGAGTGAAGGGGTTGTTCCATTACCTCTTAAGGAGGATTTGGTTTGCCCCCTCCTCGAGAAGCCATCGCTGGACCCCACTATACTGGACAACTTTTGTCTAGTATCTAACCTCCCCTTTTTGGGGAAGGTGGTTGTGCAGCACCTTCAGAAAACCCTGGATGAAACGGATTATCTACATTCTTTTCAGTCAGGATTCAGACTTGGGTATGTGTCAGGCCTAGCCCAAGGAACTCCAAGAGACCATGTAAATTCAGCCCAGCAATGTTTATTAGCTACAACCTCTAGCAAGAATCTTCCCAGACTGAAACCCCAGCTCCCAAGTAATGCCACAACATTGTGAATTCCTCAGGGAGGTGCCAGTCTCATCCTCTTATATTTCCCACGCACCTCAGGAGATGAAAGAAAATGTTTTTCTCCCTGAGCCTGGCCTTCATAATTCCATTCCATCACAGTATGGGATGGAAACGGCATAGGTCACACTTTTGGATGATTTCCAGCATAGATGGGATGGGGGTTGTGCATCCATTGTCACCCTACTTGACCTCTCGGCGGCTTTCGATGCTATCAACCATGGTATCCTTCTGGACTGACTCAGAAGATTGGGGTGGGTGGTACCATGTGCTGATTTGCCTCCTTTCTTAGGGGTCAGTTCCAGTTGGGGTTGTGGGGGGGAGAGATCCCACCCTCAGCTCCTGTTGTGCTCTCTCCACTCCTATTCAACATCTACATGAGGCTGCTGGGTGAGCTTATCTGTCGCCAGGGGGTGAGGTATCATCAATATGCTATGATACTGTGACTTGGACGAAGAGCTTCAGAGTCGTGGGGAGAAACATTTCCTCAGCCCACAGCCTGAGCGTGGGAAAGTGAAGAGGATGAGACTGGCACCACCCTAAGGAATTCTTAGTGTTTAGTTGCAGACTTTGGGAGTTAAGAGTTAGTCTGGCAAGATTCCGTCTTGCAGGTGAAAGCTAATAAAGTAACTGAGCTGTTCCAGTACTGTCTCGTGGAGTTTCTTGGCTGAACCTGACAGACACCCAACTATACATTTCTGCCCCTTGCAAACTAAGCAATGTCGTGGATGTCTTATTCCAGTGCCTGGAGGCTGTGAGAGTCTGGATAGGGAACAACAGGCTTCAACTGAACCCTGGCAAGACTGCGTAGCTTTTGGTTTTGGGGCCCACCAGTTCTAGGACTATACCATCTTTGGTGCTGGATGGGGTTGTACTGCCCCAAACAGACCCTGAGAGTAATCTGGGGGTTCTCCTAGACTCACAACTTGCTTGAGGAGCAGGTTCCAGCCATGGCTAGGACGGCCTTTGCTCAACTTCATATTGTGCATCAGTTGCGCCTGTTCCTTGATCGAGGTCCTCTACTCACAGTCGCTTATACCCTAGTCACCTCCCGTTTGGACTACTGTAATGTGCTCTACATGGGGCTGCCCTTGAAGAGTATCCAGAAGTTTCAGCTGGTGCAGAATTCAGCAGCACAGGCAGTTGTGTGTTTCCAGAAGAACAAACGTTACATCTCTGCTCCGTGAGCTACATTGGTTACCAGTCTGTTTCTGGGTCCAATTTAAGGTGCTGGTTTTGATCTTTAAAGCCCCAGTGGCATGAGACTGGGTTATTTGAGGGACCGCCTCTCCCCAGTTATATCTACCCATCCCACCAGTTCCAGCAGAGGGGGCATGCTGCAGGTCCCATCAGCTAGGGAGCTTCATTTGGTGGATCCTAGGTGGCAGACCTTTTCTGCTGTGGCCTGTGATGGAATGGAATTATGAAGGCCAGGCTCAGGTAGATAAACATTTTCTTAGCTCGCCAGAACAGCGTGGGAGGAACAAGAGGATGAGACTGGCA